AGAGAGAGAGAGAGAGAGAGAGAGAGAGAGAGAGAGAGAGAGAGAGAGAGATACAATGCAATATGAACATCAAACACACAAAGAACACCACATTTGAACACGGTTGGGAAGTGGTTGCCACTTACGCCATGATACGGTTACGACGTTTTCGTATATCGCTCCCACTTCCCAACCAGAAAGAAAAAGAGAGAGGGAGAGAGAGGGAGAGAGAGAGAGATAATGCAATATGCACAGCAAACACACAAAGAACCCCATATTTTAACACGGTTCGGAACTGGGTGCCACTTACGGCAGAATACGGCTACAACATCTTCGTATATGGCTCTCTCTTCCCAACCACATCGTCACAAGTGTAAGTTATGTGATACAGTAACAACAATAACACAGAGAGAGAGAGAGAGAGAGAGAGAGAGAGAGAGAGAGAGAGAGAGAGAGAGAGAGAGAGAGAGAGTTGCAATGCAATATGAACTACAAGCAAACAAAAAAAAACACATTTGAACGAGGTTGGGAAGTGGGTGTCACGTATGGTAGAATACGGCTACAACGTCTTTGTACATGACTCGCACTTCCCAACCAAAAAGAGAGAGAGAGAGTGAGACAATGCAATATGAACAACAAACACACAAAGAAACCCACATTTCAATACGGTTGGGAAGTGGGTGCCACTTACGCCAGTATACGGCTACAACGTCTTCGTATATTGCTCCCACTTCCCAACCGGATCGTCACAAGTGTAATTTTTGTGATACGGTAACAACAATAACAGAGATAGATAGATAGACAAATAGATAGATAGATAGATAGATAGATAGATAGATAGATAGATAGATAGATAGAGAGAGAGAGAGAGAGAGAGAGAGAGAGAGAGAGAGAGAGTTGCAATGCAATATGAACAACAAACACACAAAACCCCTACATTTAACACGGTTGGGAAGTGGGTGCCACTTACGCCAGTATACGACCACAACGTCTACGTACATAGCTCCCAGTTCCCAACTAGATCGTCACAAGTGTAATTTTTGTGATACGGTAACAACAATAACAAAGATAGATAGATAGATAAATAGATAGATAAATAGATAGATAGATAGATAGATAGATAGATAGA